GGTAAATGGATTAATATAATATGTATGGATGGATCGATGGATGGATGGATGGATCGATCGATCGATCAATGGATGGGTGAATGGGTGAGTGGATGGATGGATGGATGGATGGATAGATGGTTCGATCAATAGATGGATGGATGAATGGATGGATGGACAGATGGGTGTGTGCATGGATGAATGGATAGACGGATGGACAGATGGGTGGGAGAATGGATAGACGGGGGGAGTAGTAGGAGCGGTGCAGATGGGGTGATGCGCCTGCACGCACGCACGCACGCACGTACTTCAGCACGCGTTCGAACTCGGTGCGGTCGCGCTGCGCCTGCACTGCGAGGAAGTGTTGCTTAGCCATGACCTGCTGCTCACGCGCGACATTCAGCTGCCGCTCGACCTCAGCCTTCCTCAGCACATCCTCCTTCTCCTTCCTCCTCCACTCACGCTCCACCTGCTCCGTGTTCCTCTTCGCTCGCAGCGCGTCCTGGTGGCGCAGAGAAGAAGCGTTGATGGACGCAGGGATAGATGAGGCTGTATTGCATGTTTACCGTGGAAGGCAATGTTAACTCACTACTACAGCCACGAAATGGGGATGTTTGCAACGAATACTTGCAATCGGGCTTGTGCTTATAATAATATTGATAAATAAATAGCTATATATATAGTTATTGGGGAGGGAACCATGTCACACAAGTGTGCGCAGTGGATCGGAGGTGGAGCGATAGGTAATGGGGGGAGGCAACCACGTTACATGTGTGTGCGATGGAACGATACGTAATGGAGGAAGCAACCACGTTACATGTGTGTGCGATGGAACGATACGTAATGGGGGAGGCAACCACGTTACATGTGTGTGCGATGGAACGATACGTAATGGGGGAGGCAACCACGTTACATGTGTGTGCGATGGAACGATACATAATGGAGGAAGCAACCACGTTACATGTGTGTGCGATGGAACGATACGTAATGGAGGAGGCAACCACGTTACACGTGTGTGCGATGGAAC